AACTGGGGTTGAGAGGTGGGACGCCGGTCCACACAATAACCTGATTTTAATGCTGTGACTTATTTGGCTGAGGCACTCTTGTTCTCGCTCTCTGCATCATATAACCAAATACAACAAATCTCCATTATCGACTGACACTTGAAGTTTAGTGTTCACCCTCGGAAACTGAGTATTTTTAAACCTACGTTCATACAAAAAAATAATTATTATCCAGGACATGAGGAAATCTAGCTGATTTTTCTTTCTAAAGTTAATGCTAAAAATGTCTTTACGTTGTCTTATTGTTTTAATCGCCTTTCTGAGTCAGCCTCCATTTGAATACAGTTGTCTTTTATCAAATGAATACTTTTAAGGACCCTAAATTAATTGTGGACGTTTTTATATACAATCTAAAATTGCCGTAAATATTAAAGGATAATGGCCATTAGAAAATTTAAGCGAAAATGCGCCTCTAAATTTTTCCGAATTTGCCCTTGAAACTCTGCTTTATATTCATATGTTCTTACCCCAAGCAACATCGATGTATCCTCCAAACACGTACGGTCTTTTACTTATTATAGTAACAGTGTGTGGTTTTCCATCACAACGGTTGTGAAACGTATTAGCTGCCCAGCCATGAGAGGAGGCGCGGTAACACAGGGTCCAACTTGAATAGGGACCAACAACAGGATCCAAAAATCGAAGAAGAATCAGGATCATGTCATTGCTACTAATGACATTTGATGGTAGTTTCAACCCTAGCGATTGTAGAAAGAAAAAAAAGGATTCGTAGAGGAAAAACCCTGTTTTTCAGTTTTTAAGCATCACGCTAGAGATAAAACTGAATTATTCAGGAAAAGAAGAGAAAAAGAATTAAAAACAAAAAAAATCTTCTTTCGCATTATTGTAATAATCGTTGTTCTATCTCCTACGAGTTCCGTCTGACAACAGGAGACTTCATCAGTTTTTACAAGAATACAACAAGTATATAAAATGTTTAAAGGAAACGGAAATTAGCTGAAAGGTGTGACATTTTTCGGACGTTAGATGTTCGTGATGCGTTTGGGAGTTATTGATCTTTTACTAAAATACTATTATCATGATTATTATTGTCATAACTATTATCACCATTATTGTTATTATTATCATCATCATCATTATCATCATCATTATTATTATTATTGTTATTTTTAACATTATTATCATTATTGACTAGGACGATGATCATTATTAGATCTACTCGCCCTCCGACCACCCATATTAACTTTGCTACAAATTATCATTTCATCGGTACGAATCGAAATTTGTTAAACGATAAAAATGTATTTTTTAGACTCTACCAGGCGGAGTGCATTTGGTTTGATTTCCAGTCCAAGTACCATTCTTTAAGCAGCGACGCTCTATGGATCCATCCAGCCAGTAACCAGGGTTGCAGCTAAATGAAACTAGTTCTCCTTCCCAAAACTGCTGTCCGCGAATAAAACCGTGTTCTGGACTTTCTAGAGATTGACAAATTCGTCGACCTTTACAAACAACAAATCAATAAATAAAACATCAAACAAGAATAACAACAGTAAGGGAAGTGTCACCTGTTAACTGTGGAACCAAATGGAAGTAAAGGCAGAATTTGATCGAATTTGTTTTCAATCTGTCAAGAAAGTCAGATGCCTAACGCTTTAGCTACGAAAATAGAGCCAAATGCAGGAATTTTCTTGTAGAAGAAAAACACAGAATATTTGGCAAAAGGAAGAAATAGAGAGAAGGATATAAATTTTATCATTTTATCACACTTGGCACTATTGACTCACCGTTAACGTTACGGGGATGGAGTAATTCCAAACGATCAACGTAATCATCGTAAAATATGATTAATTACTTTAAAAAAAGTTCAGGCATGCAAAAAATTTGTTTGTTTTTCCAAATTATAGGAATAAGGAAATCTGAAATGATATTGATAGGATAGCAGTTGGACCAAGGACCTTACAGTTAGACCCGAGCAAAGAAAGACTCGTTGAAACGATAAAACGGCGATCATCTGACAAGCATATTGCCTTCTGCCGGGCAAATATTTCGTTGCCAATGACTGAATTTAATTTTTTCACTAAGATTACTAAAACTATTGTGGGAAAAGAACCACTCCGGTGCGCTGAGACATACTCTCAGAGGGTTTGGCCGGGTAGTCCAGTCTACGAATACCCTGTTACATGGCATTTTCCTTTGTATCTTACTTGCACAACTAAAATTATGTGCGTAGTTTGTTCAAGTTAACGATACTCGTTACATGAGGGTTGTATCCCACTCCAATTACCAGAGGGTAAACACATCCTTGTTTCCGGTCCAGTTAAGTGATACTCTGGATCACAAAAGAAGGACACAGATTGACCAGTCCAGTATCGTGAGCCATGTTTGCGTCCATTTGATGGAGAACCAAGGTCACCACAGTTAATTAAGGCTGAGGTATACAAAAATGTAATGATGATTAAAAAAAAAAAACCACAACTAAAACAAAAGAGGGAGTGGAAGAAAGGAAGAGAGAAGTGAATACTTAAAAACAGGTGATTCTTAATCTCTCTCTGAAATTGAAATAGATACGTGTTACATCAAACACACACAATCAAATGTGTAATGCGGGCTGTCCTACCACGTAGTAGTGATTCATTTGCAGCTCATTCGATGATAAGAAGATACAAGCATTGAGTAATATAACAAAGATAAACAAAATGCGACAAACTCAGGCTTGTGTTGGATTCCGCTGTTACATTCTTGTCGTTATAAAATAGACATGTGTAGATTCCAGAGTCACTTGGCTTGAAGCGATGAATGACCAATTCACTCTTCATCAAATCACTATTGACATTTGCGGCTCGTGAGGTAAGACGTCGACCATCTTTGAGCCACGTAACTATGGGTGGGGGCGAGCCACCAGCTGAACAGTTTAATGTCACAGCATCACCAACATGTTGGACTTCAATTTCATTAGGAGGACTGGATACAATGTAGGGATTCACTAAAGAAAAGGTTGACAAGAGACATCAGTACACTGTTCGTTTAGTTAAAGTTGTTACGTTTATCTATTTGTTTGATAGTTTCTTTGTTTTTTATTTTAACTCCTTACTTACCAACAGCTTTAACAACGACCCATATCACTCGCATGACATTTCCCAGTTGGTTAGTTCCTTGACAAACGTAAGCACCATCATCGTCCTCTGTTGTCTTTTGAATCGTAAGTTGGGAACCATTGATAACATGTCTGTTTACGGGGAGCTGCCTGCCTGATCTTGTCCATGTTATCACAGGGGAGGGGTAACCAAAGATGTCACATTTGAGCACGGTGTCCCATGCCTTGTAAGCGGTTACGGAACGCTTAGGTTCGGTAACAAATTTTGCTGGTACTGCAGATAGATTATCAAAATGGAAAATGTGGATGAAATGTAGAATTGAAATTGTAAGCCACAAGTTTGACATTCAAGAAAATGCAAATTATTGAAAAGTCATGAAACTAAGACACTGTGATGCTGCTCTGGGGATATATAGATCAGNGAGCTAAGCCATTATAAAATGCGTGGGCCATCATAAAACAACATAACAGTACAACAAAACGGTGTTGATAATAACAAATATTGTCCTAGTGAAAAAGAACAGTTGAGGCAGTGAGGAATGAGGCATTGAGAATGTTGCCATCAGGATGATTAGCTGGATATTGTATCATCTTCAGTTGTCGCTGAAACGGATTGACACTATCTAATATTTCAACTGTTCAAATTCTGGCACCCACCATTCAATAAAACCCCGATTAATAGACTTTTTGGGGGTTATCTTCTAGCATTTTCCTTAAATTTGGTAAGCTGCTCATAATATTACTAAGGCATAATATTACATAGGCTTTTGTGAAACATAAAGCGCAAGGAACAAAACATGAAAAAACACTTGCCCTTCGCTGGCCGTTCGAGTTCACGCAGACGGTTTTGCATTTGCGGCACGCGGAGAGTCGTTCAGCAGCTCTCCGGAGGCGACCAGTTTCTTTCTTTAAAGATCCACTTTTGCGAGTATGTGCTGATGTTGGTTTAACAACCACAGGATTGGAAGGCTGATACGGATCGTTTGTAAGCAGTGAGTTTTGCTCAAGTGTTGTTAAACGAGAATCCAATTGATGCAGAGAATAGCTCGTGAAACCAAGTGAGCCTAACGTCAGCATTAAATTGAATGAAAGGCCAAACATAAGAAGGTGCGAATTCTTATTTGCCTTGGGCTCCATCTTCGTCGATTTCCCTTTGAAACAAGTTGAAAGATCACTTGTGCCAAATGGCGAACTGCTTGGACCTCTGCCTAATGAAATAACGATACCTTCTATGGGTGACCTTTATTCTCTTGGGAGGGAAAGCAATACCTTGTTTTGTTCTCTCTTTTTTTTTTTTTGGAATGGCACGAGTCAGTGAACAAGATAAGCACTCACAAACAGAGTTCTAAGTTAGGGTGTCCTCAACAGGCTTAAAGTAATGTGCATTCTACACTGTGATAAACTCAAGTTTATCCCCGGCTAATACAATTTTTTTTCTTGCGTAGGAGCAAGGGATCAACCAGACTTCCTGTCTGGCCAGTCTCTTACCACCCTCCGTTGTTTTTATTATTTAATCTTGGTTTTCGTATTGGTTAAAGCATTTGGTCCCACCATGATTTTATTCAATTGGGTGTATACGATAAATATTGTTATGTTTGTGTAGGTAGACGCCGATTTTGTCAGCTAGAATAGAAGAGTAAGCTTTTAAGTAATTTTAAACCGTAGTACATTTTGGTTTTCGATAGTGAAGTTTTAAATCATATACTTAGAAATTGTACAATCAGTTTATGGGAATAACGCATGATGTGTCGCCGGCGGTCACGCTCATTAGCTTGTCACGTGCTTGACTTGGTTATCGCATTACGATTAACATCGCGCACAAGTTTTTCACGATTGTAGACCTACTTCACAAAAATTATATCGAAGGTTTTATTTATTAATAATTTTTTTAAAAANAAAAAAAAAACCAAAACAACAATTACAACAAAAGGGAGAGTGGGAGAAAGGAAGAGAGGACTGAATACTTGACGATGGGCGATTCTTAATTTCTCTCTTAATTAATTGAAATAGATACAAGTTTCATAAAAACACACACATACACACACACACACACACACACACACACACACACACACACACACACACACATGCACTCACAAAATGTTAAATGCGGGCTGTCTTACCGCGCAGGAGTGAATCATTTCCAGTTCATTCGATAAAAAGAAGATATAAACTTTGAGTAATATAATGAAGATAAATAAAATGCGACAAACTCAGGCTTGTGTTGGATTCCGCTGTTACATTCTTGTCGTTATAAAATAGACATGTGTAGATTCCAGAGTCACGTGGCTTGAAGTGATGAATGACTAATTCACTCTTTATCAAATCATTCTTGTCGTTTGCGGTTCTTGAGGCAACACGTCGACGATCTTTGAGCCACACGACTTTGGGTAGAGGCGAACCACCAGCTGAACAGTTTAATGTCACAGCATCACCAACATGTTGGACTTTAATTGTATTGGGAGGACTTGACACAATGTAGGGATTCACTAAAGAGAAAGAGAGACAAGAGAGACAAAGTAATCAATGCACTGTTCGTTTAGTTAAGGTTGTTTATCAATTTGTTTGTTCGTTCGTTGGTTTGTTTCAACTCCATACTCACCAACAACTTTAACAACGACCCATATCACTCTCACGACATTTGCCAGTTGGTTGGTTCCCTGACAAAGGTAAGCGCCAGCATCGTCCTCTGTTGTATTTTGAATGATAAGCTGGGATCCGTTAATAAAATGCCTGTTGATTGAAAGGTGTTCGCCAGATCTTCTCCATGTTATCACAGGGGAGGGGTACCCGAAGATGTCACATTGGAGCAAGGTGTCCCATGTCTTGTAAGCGGTTACGGAACGCTTAGGTTCAGTAAGAAACTTTGCTGGTACTGCCAAAAGAATATTACAACTATAAATGTGAACTAAGCTCAAAATGCAAGAAAATGCGATTACAAAACAGTCATGGTACTACGACACGCCAATAGTGCTCAGGTAATTTATTGATTAGTAATTGATTAGCACCAGTGATCAAGCTTTAAAGAGACTATTGATTAAGGTTAAAGGCTGGTTTTCACTTGCGACAGAGCCGTAATCAGAAGCGTGGAGCGATACGATCTAGTGAAAATCAAAACGACGGAGTCGAAAGCAGAACACCAATTCTGCCTATGACTCCTTCGTCGTTTACGATCTAGTGAAAACTGCATAGTCAGAGTCGGAGGCGGATGCGGAAGAATAAACCAATCATAATGCTCGATTCTATTTTTCCAAAATGCACAAATAGCCGTAACAAATTTAAACGTGTGAGCTTGACTATAAAATTACGAAATTAAAAGTTAAAATACTCGAAACCTACCGAAAGTAGAATTCATGATCACCAAGTCGTAGTTCGCTGACGAGGGTAGCATACTCTCCCAAAGCTGCTCGACGTCGATAGATACTCACGAACCCAAAATCGCTTTCTTTTTCAAACGATATCATTCCTGTATTGTCTCTGCCTGCGCAAAATAATGATGAACAAGAGCCAAAGCACAAGTTGCTTCGTCCGCCATGTTGTCTTTGGCGCCAAAATTTGTACTTTCGCGGGCATGGAATCGAGCATTGCGATTGGTTTATTCTTCTGCTTCCGCTTCTGACTCCGACGATGCAGTTTTCACTAGATCGTAAGCGACGGAGTCATAAGCGGAATCGGAAGAAAATGGAAACGTTCTGATTCTTCCGACTCCGATTCTGTCGAGCTTATGACTCCGCTTACGACTCCGTTTTTCGATTTTCACTGGGTCATAAGTGCTCCTACGACTCCGACTACGACTCCGACTCCGTCGCTAATGAAATCCAGCCTTAATAAGGCTAGATATTTATCCGTAACTTCAGGCTCGCCCTGGATGCAGACTGAACGATATCTTTAAATACTTTTGTTGCAGGGTGCGCGTGGCCGATTGCGGTGCGGAGAACATTAATCTCGCTTTGTAGCAAGAAAGTGCATTATTTTTAACCGGTAAATCATGAGCTAGAAGTATTTGAACCTTTAAGAGTTCAAGTTGAATGCTCTGCTCATCTTCAAATGAATACGTGAATTAATTTGATTGAGGAAAATCAATGAAACGGAATACCAATTATTGCGTTTTACAGAAAGTCTTACCTTTCACGGTGACGTTGACGGATGATTCTGCTCTGCCCAGAAGATTTTCCCCTGTACAGGTGTAGACACCACGATCCTGGAATTGAACTCTCTCTAATTCCAGACTCCTTTCTCCAAAGTACCTCTCGTCCTGCTCTATCGGGTGTCCATTTTTGTACCACGTGATCATGGGTTGTGGGAAGCCATTTGCTTTACAAGGCATTTGGACATTTTCTGTCTCTTTCACTGTTACGGTGGAGGAAGGCTTTGAAATGAATTGTGGCAATTCTGAAAATAAAGTACAGTCTTACTAACGTTTACAAAAAAAAGAAACATGAGCAGAAGGAAAAGGCTTTCTTAAGTGAATATGGCTAAGAAAACATAAAAAGCAACAACAATAACAATCGGATATTAATTGCACGACTTACCTAACTGACCTCCATCGCTATGTTGTGTTCTCTGTTGCGCTGATTTGCCAGGGGATCCCGGTGGTCCTCTTATACCACGTATTCCCTGAGGGCCAGGCACACCCCTTGGTCCTTTTTTTCCTCTCCTACCGTTCGATCCAGGTGGGCCCTGGGGACCAGTGCGTCCAGGTATACCGGGAGGACCTGGTGGGCCTTGAGGTCCCACAAAATGATATGAAAAAAATTAGCAAAGGTGTAAATAAATAAAGAGGAAAAGGAAAATATGTAAGAAAAAATTGTGAATGAAAAACCTAAAAAACCTTGCAAAGTCCAAGTAAACAATTGAGAAAACACTACTTTGAAGTGTGTTTATGCTGGTCTCTACAGTAATTCTTTCAGTTTTAGTTTGGCATTAACGTCCCGCCAAGTCGATCAGTCACTGAAACTGCAATAAAAACTGAAAATGCTGATATCAGTGGTATTGGGTGCAGAATAATGACGTTGATTGATGTCGTGTTGCAGCACATGATACTTTCTACTTGGTCTCATTTCGTCCAGCTCTTTAAATAGAGCAAGAGAGGGAAGTTTTAGTTATCTTGTTATAAATAGAATCGCATCAGTAGATAAAGTCTCGCATTCTGATTGGTTAACGAAGCGAAGTATTCATCGTAGAATTACTTGTTAAAAACGAGGCCACGTGATATTGTTTCGCATCTACGTGTACATAACAACTATAAGTAATGCCGTTTTATTAATTTTTCTTATTTTTGTTCAATTGTGCGTTTCAAGGAAAATTCATTATTTGACTCGTGAATTCCGCGTTAAATTGCACTTGAAAACTGATATCGGTTTTCGTGTGCAATTTAATGCGGAATTCCCTCGTCATGTAATGAATTTTCCTATAATATAACTAACGTAAAAAGTTTTGGTTAATATCAGAAGCATTACCTTCTTACATTCTTTTATTCATGCAATTAATGGTAGTGAATTAAGCATTTTGTAGAGCTATTTCATGTTGATCCGCAATACATGCTATAGGGAAACTCTTACCCTCAACGCAAACAACGTTTCCTTGGCTTCTTTCCACGAATGAATTCTATGGATTGGAGGACGAAAGTAAGTAAAAAATTATTTCTTTCATTGATAACTACCCTAACGAGGTTAGGCTGATATAAAATGCGTGGGCCATTATAAAAGAACACAACAGTACATTACAACAGGGTTGATCATAAAAAATAGTCTTAGTGAATAAAAATCAGCCAAAGCAGTGAGGAATGAGACAGTTGCCATGATTAGATCAGTGGATATTGTATCGCCTTCCGGTGTCGCAAAAGCAGATCGACACTATCTAATTTTTCAACTATTCAAACTTTAGTTAAGGCAGCCATCACCTGATCCATAGACTTTCTTTAGGGTTATCTTCTAGCGTTTTCTTTCCATTTGGTTAGCTATTTACAATATTACTGAGAAGGTCAATGGGCATTTGTGAAACATAAAGCACAAGAAAACTTGCCCTTCGCTGGCCATTCGAGCGCACGCAGACGGTTTTACATTTGCGGCACACGGTGGGTCGTTCAGCAGCTCTCCGGACGCGAGCCGTTTCTTTCTTTAATGATCCACTTGGGTGAGTATGTGCAGATGTTGGTTCTACAATCACAGAATTGGAAAGCTGATACAGAGGGTTTGTAAGCAATAAGTTTTGCTCAAGTGATGTTAAACGCAAGTCTAACTTCGATGATCGATGCAGAGAATAACACGTGAAACCAAGTGAGCCCAACGTCAGGATTAAATTAAATGAAAGGCCAAACATAAGAACGTGAGAATTCTTATTTGCCTTAGGCTCCATCTTCGTTGATTTCCCGTTGAAACAAGTTGAAAGTTGGCTCATACCGAGTGCCGAAATGATAGATAACCTATCAAGTTTGTTGCTAGTTGCTTGGACCTCTGCCCAATGGAATAACGATACGTTCTATGGGTGACCTTTAATCCCCTGGGAGGGGAAGCAATACCTAGTTTCGTTCGTTTTGTTTTTGAAATGGCGCGCGTCGGTGAACACGATCTGCACTGATATATAGAGTTTTAAGATAACTCGATTTAGTCCATGCAACAGGCTTAAAGTAATCCAAGTAATCCAATTTTTTTTCTTGCGTAGGAGCACGGGATCAGCCAGACTTCCTGTCAGGCCAGCCCCTTCCTACCCTCCTTTATCTTAAAATTTATCATTTAATCTTGATATTCGTATTAGTTAAAGGATTTAGTTCCACCATGATATTATTCAATTGGGTATATATGGTAAATATTGTTATGCATGAGTATATAGACGCCGATTTTGTCAGCTAGAATAGAAGAATAAGCTTCGAAATAAATATAAACTGTAGTACTTCAAGTTTCAGCAGTGAAGTTTTTAATCCTATACTTAGAAATTTTATAATTAGTGTATGGGAATAACGCATGATGTGTTGCGTGCAGGTCACGCTCTTTGTTACGTGCTTGACTTGGTCATCGCATTAGGCTCCACGGGGGATGATCTAATTTGAACATAGTAAAGCTTGAATGTTTGAGGATTGAAAACGTTTTCGGAAGTTATATTTTGCGGAGACTTATTACATGCTTTGCAGGAATACATTCTTGCGGTTTAAGCAAGGTTTTTATTAGAAGCCGGCACCCGTCTACTTAAAATAGAATACTCGGCTACTTCAAGTACGAAATAATAATAAAAAAAGGCAAATCGTCAAGAAAAAAATTATCAACCTGAACTAAATATTTATTCTTCTTTGTAAGTTTAAAACCTCTTTTCTGCACTTGTTTGTCAATTACTTGCCACCAGATCGTGAAAATAAAGTGTAGTTTGACGAGAAAGGCGCCGCGCTTTAATCGAGCTATTCAAGTGCCTGATTAGCAACATGCCACACGTTTAAAGCAAATGCATTCTGCGGAGTCATCATGGCAAACTAGAGAAAACTTTAGGCATCCTGGATTCTTTTTTGTCATTTACATACAAAAAGTCAAAAGGTTAGTTTTGAGCATTTCATCAATCTTGTATTATTTACAAACTCGTTTGAGGGCTAGGGAAACACGCAAGTACTCGTTTGCGTATGAAAGGTCAAGTGCAATGACCCAGAAAATTAATTAAACTAATTAGTTATATAATTAATCAAATTTATGTTTTCTGGTTTTAATTGGATTCGGAGGAATGATTCTCTTTTTTGAAAAATTAGTTATTATCAACCGAGCGGGAGGTCTGTTGGGGAGAATCTTGACCGAGGTCGCCAGTACAGACCGAACGCAGTGAGGTCTGTTCCAGCGACCGAGGTAAAGATTCTCCCATACAGACCAACCTAGCTCGGTTAATAAGATGTTTATTATATGGCTGCTGTAAAGGACATGCATAAAAAAAGTTTTATCGTAGGTTTAATGAAACATTTCTTTAAAAACATGAGCTTTTCAAACTAATTTTCGTACGGACATTCCACGACTCGTTAAGATTTTTTCGGCTGCGACTTGTGATTAAGATGAATCTAATTCTATTCCGCTTTGACGCAAACTTGTACTTCTCTGAGGTGTTCTTATGGAAAACTGTCGAAACTGTGAACAAAGAGCTAGTAAAACCTGCAAATTCGTGCCATCATGATTGGGACATACATTTTGGTTTAGTTTTTATTTGCGACACATCTTTTTCCAATCTTTGCAGTTTGATTGAACAGATTTTCACTAGGGCGCTAGTTGCTAATCGCTAACAGATTGAATAAAAAATTAAGTTTGCCACGTGGCAAAGCACCAACTTTTTGTTTATCGGAAAAAAAAAGAATTTCATCGACTAGATCAATTATTGACAGATTTGTTTCAGTCCGGTTACTCATTGCACGGTCTCCACGAGCTGTGACTCAGGCGAGGCAAAACACCTCCGCTTCATCAGGTGTAAATTTATAAGACCCAGCATTCATGTTTTCTACTCCACTTGGTATGCGGTAGTAGCTGTTATGAAAATCAGTGTAAGAATTAATGTTACTATTGGCATTATTGCTGATGTGGATGTCAAATCCTCCACCAAATGTTGGACCTTTATCTGACTGCTTATAAATTGCGCGTTTTGGATTTTTCACCATATATGCTCTTGAATGATGGCAGTCCTTCTTTGTTGATGAGAGAAAATATGAAGGCATTGGAAGAGTAACTGTATCCACCACTGAGGCCTGAATATTAAATAAATCAATAACAAAAAGTGTAAAAATGGAAGGTATATGAATGCATTAGGAATGGAAACACAGATCCTGTAAGGTAAATATTGCAGAGTGCTAAAGAATAAAAGGAAATTGACTATAAGCACAGGGTCATACAAAGTGGAACAAAGATTCTACTTACGGGTTGAAAGAGATTAGAACAGAATAAACTGATATATGGTGAAAGGGAGGAATGAACTTAAAGAGAGAAGTGTTGATGAAATTATGGGAAATTTAGTCACAAACGATACAATAGAAAGAATATAAATCTTGAACGAGCGAATAACATTAAAAAATTCAACGATTAAACGACTTACCTGTAAGGAGAAGTTTGTTTGAAATTCTACGAGTCATTGGTGGGGAGTGTAGGAGTTACGTGAGAGCGCGCGTGCGAACCTGGGAGATCAATTTTCAAATTGGCGAGTAGTCACACAAAATGAAGTGAAGGGTGGGTAGTACAGTACATAGAAGGGTGTATGTAATGTTTTGATATTATTCTACCGGAAGCTGTCCTAGCGGAAGTTCTAAGACATAGCAAAGGATCATGGATATTTGTATGGGCCATGCTTTCCGGTTGTCATGGTGGATGAAGAAAGACTAGTTTCGTTTTATAGTTTAATCTGGGTTATTGCGCGGCTATCCAAATGACATCGTTACAATGTATAGTAGGGTGGGGGGGCACGTAACTCCTACATGACATAAGAGCTGTACTAGCTTTGGGTGTAGTGGGTGAACTAAGTCTGGTTGACTTGGTTGACATAACAGCTCTTTTTTCCGAGGCAGTTCCAGAGGGTTTTGAATTACCATTCTCATTAGTGTCGGCCACCAGGATTGAGTGGGCCTCTTGGGTACTAGTATGAGTCCTGTTGCCTCCTCTTCCTGAATTTTCTGAGGAGCTAATGCTATGAGACTGAAAGGAGGGAAGGCATAAAATAAATATGTTTCCCACGATAATGTAAATGCATCTATTGCAAAAGCTCCAGGGTCAGGTTGGTATGCCACAAATGGTTTAACTTTGTAGTTTAGCCTTGAAGCAAACAGGTCAATGTTAGGTTTAACACCTAACTTGGCCATTGCATCACAGTACACACTTGGGTTTAGAGCCCACTCCGTTCCTATGTTTGTATTTCTGGATTCTTTGTCAGCCAGAACATTTAACTTCCCGGGGATGTGGGCTGTAGATAGCCATATATTATGATCAAGACACCAGTCCCATATTATGCGGGCTAAATTGTTACAGGATGGTGAGTGACTTGTACCCATGTGTGCAAGTGTTGAGACAGCTGTAGTGTTGTCAATCATCACCCTAACATGTTTGCCTTCAAGATGTGCAAGAAAGGCTTTTAAGGCAAAGTGCACAGCTAGCATCTCAAGGTAATTGATGTGATGGAGAGCTTCCCTTGGGCTCCAAGCACCCTTCGATGTGGTGCCACAGAGCACAGCTCCCCTCCCAGAAGATGATGCACCTGTGAACATTGTAATCTCTGGTTTACCATGTTGCACAACATGCACTGTGCACTGAGTCTCACCACCATTTAATGTCAGTTAATGAGGCGTCTGAAAGCTGCATGCACATATCAAAGTTCCCCTTAGCATGTTGTAAGGCACTTGTTTTATCCATATCGATCAGTGTAAAGTATAAAGGGCCATACATGACAGCTGGGAAGCTGGCTGTCATAAGACCCAGCAGCGATGAGACTTCCCTTATCGAAGGGTTGCTGCAGGGCAAGAATTTTATCACAGGCATCTTTAAGTTCTGTGCTTTGTCCTAGGTCAAGTAAATTTTCATTTCTATCAAATCAAGAACAAAACCCAAATAGGTGATTCTCTGTGATGGTAGGAGGATAGATTTTAAAGGGTGGATAGCAAAACACAGTAAATCAAACAGCTTTAGACTAGGTTTACACTAGAGGAAATTGTTCCGGATTCGTGATGAATCCGAAACGTTTCAGTACCGGATTGATTTTGCCGTTTACACAAAAGTGGACGAATCCGAAATAAAAACTCCCCGGTTTGGTCGTGTCTCCGCAGATTTTGAATCCGGAATTTAAAGTGGGAACTTTGAATCCGATAACTTTTGAATCCGGAAGTTTTGTCGTGTAACCGCTTTTTTTTCTCGAATCCAGATATTATTTCCGCCTGCAATCTTTTGAGTTTGCGGTGAAACCAAAATGGAGGATCTGGTGCTAACATTGCAGGCGGTCTCCGGTTGCCTAATCTTGTTGCAGGTTCAGGCGATAAATTTTATCATGTGCACCGCAGTATTTCTGAGGAAACGCAAATTATCATTGTAAGGAAGTTTAACGTCAG